AGATTATTGTCGGGTCCAAAAAGTCGAAAGTTGAAGAATTGGACGCGGAGACAATTAGACTTTTTAGAAAAATAATTATAAATTAATTTGGAATTGTAATTGTCTTTGCACATTGTAATAAAAAAACATAGAATTTAAATAAATAAATTTCATTTTTCCTACTAAACTGAATTTAATTCCTGATCAAATTTCTCCGCGTAAATTCACCCGCTTACACTCAAGCAACTAAATTCGCTCGATTGCGTTCCACCAATCGAAATCATCTGATTAAATTCAAACGACTAAATTCCTTTGATGAAACTCATCTAAATATATTGACGTTCCAAACCTCGAATTCGATAATTAATCATCTTGCACGATTTAAATCTGACGTAAATGTTGAGTTCAAACAAGTCCCTTTTGCCCTTCATAGATTAAATCGCACACAACGTGATTTTCCTGCAAATAAAACCAACAGACTGGACAAACTGGTTAGCAGTCAGTTAAAATGCGATGCAGAATGAGATGAGATGCGAAAAGAACCTAATAATCTAAGGGTAAAATTTGGGGTGTGACACTAACCATTGGAAACCTGTGTCTGGTTGCATTCCTTGTGTTTGAGCCATTTAATCCATTTTTGAAGAAATCTTTTTCTTGAGCAAATCCTCTTGTTTCATCAAGAAGCATACTTTGCTTGAGGACAAGCAAATATCTAGTTGGGGAGAGTTGTTAGATGCCCAACTTTGCTTATTTGATCTATCAAATGTGGGTATCTTTCAATCCTTTTTGTAGAGAAAGTGTTAAAATGACTCTTGCTTTGGTTGATTTGCACCATTATGTGAAAGTATCTTGGTTCTTTTGATTTGTGTGTTATTGTGTAGGAATTAGGCATGCAAAACTGAAGAGTAAGACACAAGAAAGATAACAAAGAAACTAAGACAGCATGCAAACAACAGCAAATTCACACAGCTTGCTAGAAAATTTCATAAAGTTCACACAGCGAACTTTGTAGTGAAGGCCAGGAAACCAAAACATAAAGAAAAGGGCCCTAAGTTCGTTGTACGAAGGAGGCAGCGAACAACTCACTAGGCGAAGAGGTAGCGAAGAGCTAGCGAACACTCACAGACTTGAGGCAGTAGGTATTTGGATAAGAATTCACTGTGCGAAGTTCTCAACAAAGGATTCGCACTGCGAAGAATTCTTCGCACAACGAACATGTGGAATTTTGTCTGGGGAGTTTTCTCAGGACATAGGCACTTCAGGTTCCATTTTGGTTGTTCGCTAGGCGAACACTTTGTTCGCATTGCGAACATGACAGATCAGCAACCCTTCTATAAGTAGTATGGGCTACTTTTTGAGAAAATGAACATTATTTTTTTTGTACTTTCTTTTGAGAGGATTTTCAGACCTAAAATGCTTGTCTCTCCATTTTCTATCATCTCTTAGCAATATTTCACAAAAGGAGGTGGATTCTCATCCAATCTCGATTATTCGACTCGGATGTTGATTAACCTTCTTCCAAAACTTGTTGCTCAAGCTATCATGGAAATGGGTAGCTAAATCCCTCTCTTGTCAAGGTTAGAGGTAGTTAGTTCAGATTTTATGTATTCTTCTTGATCTTTTTTATGTGAACAATGTTGTGATCAATATGTCGCGGTGAAATTTTGATACCAAGCTATTGATGAGCTTAAATCTTAATTCATTTGCAACCGAAGTTTAATTTGTCCAAAGGAAGGGAAAAAGATCGAATTACCCACAATGCAATGCAAATGCAAAAGCTAGAGAGTTATAGGTTCGGGGGTTGGTTAAACTTAGGGAAGGTGCTAGCATCCTAAGTTTCTGTAGTACTCTACAGGAACCTCTTGTTTTATGTTGTTTATTGCTAAGGGTTATTTGCTTAAAGATGAAAGACCTATGGGTTTATTTCTAAGTATACTCGACAAGATATCACATCTTGTGCCTACATATCTTGACAAGAATGGAATCAGAGTATCTGTAATTCCCCTAAAGGGTTTAAGGAGTTCTTTGACTATGGTCAAAGTTCCTACGGGATAAAGGTAGTTGATTGATTGATTTTAGGAGAAAAGATGATTTGTCATTTTAAGGGAGATTACTTGATTTAACCGCCACAACTTTGTAGGAAAATAGTCTTTGTGTCGTCTTTAAGAGAAGGGCTCAAGTACTCGGATTGTCAACAAGTACGCCTCTATCTCTCCTAAGGCAAAGTCCATACATATTGATTGAATTGTTATGGGGTAGAAGTTTTATCTCGCTTAAGATGATTAACATCTTATTCTCTAATATGTTTGAATAGTTTGAATTGAGTTATTGAATGTGTTTGTCTAAGTTGTAAAGATAAAAGGTCCTCCTTATGGGGTAGGATCTAAACTTAGAAGATCGACTTGAATGGGATCAAGGATCAATGGGGAGTATGATGCAAATGAGATGTATACGCACAATTGTTTAGGTTATGCGCAGATTCTTCCTTTGGACATTATGCAATAATGCGATGTAATAAAGATAAACAGTAGTAAAGTAAAGGCAGAAAATAAAGGCAGATAAATACATCAATACACAAACGCATGAAAGCGCTAAGTGAGTGTGTGAATTGTGAATATGGAATAATGGAATCGATGCGGGAACGTAAGCGTGCACGATTGAATTTACTTGCGATGTTGATTGATTTTAGTCGAATTGGTTTGAAGGGAGAGGTTGAATTGATTTTGAGAGAAGACTAATATTTTTGGTGAGATTGATTTTATTTTAGCGAAAAGTTTATATTAAATTATAAATAAATTGGATTAGATGAATTATATTTTAGATAGAAAATTAAAATAAGAGGATTCTTAAATAAAAGGGTTTCGTTTATATTTTATCTTATAAAAGAAAATGATCATTTTATAAGTTGTTTTTATTGGATGAAATGTTAATTCAATTAAAAAGGTTTTATTATTAAAAATAAAAAGGTCATTAATAAATAACATGCAATTTATTAAAGTTTTTTTTTGTGTGAATAATGATATTGTTGATTAAAAAAAAGTTAGGTTGACAAAATTGGTGAAGATACCATGAATTAAATTATTAGAGAAAAAGTTGATTTAAAATAAAAAGGAATTAATTGAATAAAATGGTTACTTAGGAAAAGATTAAAAAAGTTATTAGTTGTTTTATTATTAAGAAGTCCATTTATAAAAGATTTGATTAATTAGATAATCCAAAAAAGGTTAATGATGTATTAAAACAAAATGACAGATTCATATGTTCATTAATTTTTATTTTAAAAAAGGTTAATTAATCGAATAAAACAGGTAAGTGATTATGTGGTTAATTAATTAATTAGATTTGAAGATTAATTATTAGGTTAATTACGGAGAGATTAGGGTGAGTTAATTGTGGATTAACTGCTAATGGAATGGTTAGTGGCGTAAAAAGATTGCGTGTGATGCAGGCGCAGGTTTATGGTGGGCGTGCGGGGTGTGGCTCATAAGATGAATCTGTTGGAGATCTGAGGGTTGTGTGTGTGTGGTGTAGGTGAGTTATGGTGAGTGTGTGCATACAGGACTATTACAACAACAAAATCACAAAACGAACCCTAAGCCCCAAATCTACTCCCCTTCCTCTATTCTTCTCGCCACGCACCCCTCATCTCCACCCTCTCTTTGCGATTCCACCATCGTTCTCTTCCTCCATTATTCTCCGTCGATTCTTCCTCACCCATCTCCATCCTTCAATTTCTCTCTGTTTCCTTCTTCTGTTTGATCTTCTCCTCCATTTCCCTTTTTTCGATTTCCTACACAAGCAAGCAACAAACAACAGCGAATTATCGTTAGTAAAAGAATCTCACGCTTACAATGGGTTCTTTTTTTTTGCAGGCTTTTGATGGCGATGAATTCGTTGATGGAAGAGGCAGTTTCTGGCGACGAAGGATCTGACGGTCGTGGATGGTGATCTCCGGCGGCGAAGGTTCCGATGGCGGTTTCGTGACGGTGTTCACAAAGATGAGTTCTCTTCCTTTGATCTTTTAGGGTTTCGAAATGGGACTCTCTGCTTTAGGTGTGAACTGCTATGAATTCTTCTCCCCCCCCCTTTCATCTCGAATCTCCTTCTTATAGCATTTCATATTAACGAATTGATTGAGAGTGGTAATTGTTGTTGGTTCTAGTTTTGGTAAGGAAATAATGTCTGTCTAAACATGTCTCTGAGGCGTTAAAACTCCTTCCACTTTCGTTTCAACATGTTGTGCTTATTTTGGAAAGAACATAAGTTGTTGTGAATTTGGATATTGTCCTGTTTTAGTAAATGGTCAGTTGACTAACGATTCTTTGGTGACTTGCAGTGGGTTTACAGTTGCGGCTCTATCGAGTTCAAAACTGCAGGTGAGGATATTCTTCTCAATTCTGAACATGCTTTGAATTGTTGTTGGTATTGAATTACTGCTATCAAATTCTGATCCTGCACAAATGTATTGCTTTGATGTAGGATATGCAACTTAGCAGATGGAGGTTTTCTGCTTCAAATCTGCAGCGATGTGCTCTCCCTCGAGCTGAATCGTTTATGAGTTGTCTTCCTGGAGAGTCTTCCTCAAACAAAGCATTTCACTTAGTTTTAACCGTGTTTGCCTTGGATGGAGTTGCCGGAACTGTCGTAATCAGATTGTCCACTCAAAAATCTCTTAAGTATCAGATGGTTTTGTGTTTAAAAAGGAAAGTATTATGCTTGTGGTTGATGCTCCCGTTTCAATTTCGTTGATGCAGGTTGGTGGGGCTTCTATTACTGCAGTTCTGCCATGTGATGGTCATTCACGTTTTTTGAAGGTCAAGGTTCTCGAAACTCTTATGTTTGCCGGCAACAGCACTTCACCTTGACAAGGAGACAATCCCTGTTTGTTGGTGAGCACTTAATTCTTTCCTACCGGAAAATCTGAACTTCGAACTTGCAGACGTTCCCGATGCTCTTACGTTATTGATATACTCACAAAACCAAGTTTGATTAAATTTATGCAGGAGCTATAGTGGGATTAAATGACTAAAGCAGCAGGCAAAGTGCGTCACGACTACACACGGAGGGATCTGATTCCACTAGTGTCAGAGATTCAAACATGTTGTCGCCTTATAGTCTACGAGGCTGTGTATTTGCGTTGTGAGCTTCTTTTGGCAGTGGTAAAGTTACCAAATGAATTGTGAACCTTTTAAATTTCTAACGGTTTTAAATTTACGTCTTCATGATAGCTTAGTTCTTTCTCAATGGTTTCTGCCTGCAGGTGCGTGAATGTCGTGATAACGGTGCTGCCCTTACTTTCATGGTTGGTGTTTGTACTTGTTGCTTCCTGTGTTTGTACCTGTTTTTGCCCCCTTATGAATTCATTGAACGATGGAGCAAATGTTGATATTTTGATGCCCTTTGTATCTCGATGCGCCGTGTTACGGTCTGTTTCGGAAGGAGAAATCACCTCACGCTGAGTATGTTACTGTCTTGGGATGCTGGTGTTATTACAAAGTAATTCAGGACTGCATCATATCCTGGCATTGTGCTTGTTGCAGGTTTATAGGCTCGGGATTTTAGTGCGGGACGGTCATCTCTTACAGTTTCTCAATGGTGCAGCATAAGGGGATTTTGTCTTAGCAAGATCCATGGCGGTGTTGTGATGCTGCTTGGATATAGTTCTTACTATTGTAGGGTCATCTTTGATTACTTTGTAATTTGGAGTGGGTTTGAATGTTTGTAAAAACTTCAAGTCATGCTACCGTAATGCATTTGAATATGATTTACTGTAATGTATCTGAATTAATTTGAATATTCTATGTGAAAATCCTCATGAATCTCGACATGGAAGCCTAAACTTATTCTTGAATTTAGGATGACATACATAAGACCCATCCTTGTATTTATTTGGAATCCTTTCCTTTCAAAATATCTTTTATCATCAAAAGGATATAACGCCCATGGTATTTAATAATGAGTTGTCTTGCGAGCTTAACGTCCTTGGTGTGATATTTTAGTTGACTTTAAATTGTACAATTCCAAATTTTTGGAGTACTTGGACCGATATGATGGTTTGTCTCTTTGAGTTCTAGTTTTCACATTTGTTACCAATAAATTGTGTTCTATATGAACACGTCCTCTACAAGCCTCCTCAAAAGTGGACATCCCACCCTTAACATACTTAACAACTTGATCCAAAATGAAAAGCACCAAATAAACTCAAAGCTTTAAGAACCAGACTTGGTCACCAAACGACTTCCAGTACTTTATTCTATGAAATCTTTGTCTTAATGTAATTTCCTTTGCTTGATGGATTGGGCCTGAGAAGCCTGCACATGCTTGTTAGCCACATAAAAGTAAAAAGATAAAACGTGAGAAAACGCACAGGAAAGGTGGAATCTTAAGGTCAAAAATTAGGGTGTGACACAATATAGATGAAGTTATTTGTTACTCTTTGTACATTTATGGTTTGGATTGCTTTAGACATGAACTTTTCAAGTCTTGACCTAATTTCTTCATCTATCAACTATACAAATTCTAGACATAGGTTTGAAAGTTGATATCCGCTTTGTATTGATCTTAATGTTTATTGTTTCGAGTGTTATTTAGAGAGATCACTTAACGGTCGAAACAATAACATTTCCGAAATCGCTTTAGAAATGTACATTTTTGCGAGGATATGTGGTTATGTTGGTTAAAACTTCGTTCACATATTCGATCGGTTGGATACGTTTAGGACTGATTAGCAAACCGTAATCTTGACATGTTTTTATCAAACTTAGACCGAATTTTATTCCGTTTTATTTCCTGAAAACTCTTGTTACAAAAATAGAAATCGTTTTAAAAAAAAAACCTTTGTTAAATCATTAAACCGTTGAACGACAAGCATCTATATTCTCATTAATCCATGTGGATATGATACAACACTACCGCAAAATACTTTCTAACAATGGCTGGAGAAGAAGGCGACTCTTGTCTATGGCACAAGAGACTTGGTCGCTTAAACTACAATGGTCTCACTTTGCTTTCTCTAAAGAATATGGTGTTCATGCTTCCAATAATTAAAAAGAAACATAGAGTATGTGAATAATGTTTCCTTGAAAATGACCACCGACAACCATTTTCTAATGAAGGAACAAGGAGAGCTAAATAAGTGTTGGAATTGGTTCACACAAATGTGTATAGTCCTATGAACATGATGCGTCCGCAAGTGCACGGAAATATCGAAGTAATATAAAAGATTGTCGAACCCACAGAGACCAATGTCAATCTACCGTTATCTATTATTACGGCGTAAAGCTAAGGCTATTGGAATTAGGAAAGTTGAATGCGAATGAAATTAAATGCAAAGAAATAAAGATAATTGGTTTATGGAAAGGATGGTAAAGGAATATCGGTATGCAAGAACTTAGTTATCGGGGATTCGACAGGTCACCGGTGCTTTCTACTCTTTGCAAACACTTTTAAGAAGAAAATAACGGTTTAAAGACCTTTGTCTCACGATGGTTGTTGACGCTAGTCGCAACTCTAAGGCGGAACGTATGTTGTCGCTATTCCGTTCGGGGTTTAAATTACTTTTTGAAAACCATTAAGTTCTAATCCCTTTTAAAGCGCTGTCGCTGTTTTTAAAAGGAATGCCTAGTTTTTACTATCTGGTCTTAGCCGCAGCTGTCGCTTGTTGGTTCGTACCTTAATATGGTTTCCCACTGTCGTGGCAAAACCACCGTAAATAGCTTCTCACTGTCGTGACAAAGGTTTATTTAGAATTTAGATTAAAAACTACGGCCAAAAAGGTTGTTTGTAAAAAGGGAAGATGTCGGTTACTATCGAATCCTATCCTACTAATTCAGTTACATACCGATAAAACTAACTTAGCTAGACATGATAATTAATGCAAACGGAAATAAACATAAACAACAGAATAGTAAAATATGCATTAAGACAGAAATAAAGTAGTAATTTAATTAATAAGAACCTGGAAAGTAGTACTGATATTGAAGAGTAGTCCTCCACAATGTCGGCAAGATTCTACTTTGGCCAATTGGCCAAATAAAATTGCAGAAAGAAAAATACAAAGCTCTGAACAAAAAGGGAAAAGGGAAAGGAAATAAAAGTAACAATGACTTCAATAGAACTTTGGCAGTCCTTCGGGATGAAGAATCCACCCCCTTTTCTCTGTGAATCTCTTGTCTATTTATAGGAGATATTTCATTCTTCAACTTCCAGAGATCATGGGTGAGTTATGGAGGGAGTGGGAGTAACTTCCAGTAGTGGGCAGTGAGTGGAGAAAGTGTAGGAAGAAATTAAGTTAAGATTGATCGTGACTTCAGATTCTGCGTTTTTGTCTGCATGACGGTTGTCATGATATGTGACGGTCGTCAGGACTGTGTGACGGTCGTCACAGCAGCAAAATTCATATCTGCTGTTTTTCATCTGTTTTCCTTCCATTTCTTCTTCTTTTCTTTCTTTAGCCCAAATTCTCCCCAATCTGCTAAACGGAGTGAATTAATCATATAATAGAACATAAATCAAGATAAATTAATAAAAGTCACAAATAAATGCATGTAAATCAAGCCAAATAAACGATATGATTTCGCATTATCAAACACCCCCACACTTAAACCATTGCTTGTCCTCAAGAAATCAACCAACACGGTGGAAAGAAATAAGCATAGTTCGAAACAAAGACACGATGAGACTCTAATCATATGTGGCTGCTAGGCTAATGTTAGATCGATAGGTACTAAATATCAATACCAAGGATAACATAACGACATAATTTTAAAAACTCCCTACTTATGCAAACCAATCAGAATCATGCCATTATAACTCAACCTATAACTCATGCTCTCTTTCACCCCATTTCATTATAGTGCAATCACATTAAGCCCGTTATCCATACACATTTATGCAAAGTAAACCTGTTAGTGACTATGATCTCATTATTATTTCATTTTTCTCTGCAAATATGCTTAAGCATCAATTGGACTTAAAGAGTTTGTACCGTTAGGTTAAGTGCTCGGGTGAGGAGCACCTAACTTAGAAGGAACATGTCTTTTTCTTCATAATTTTTCTTTTCTTTCTTAGTTTCTCATTTTAAACTAGATATCATACACTTATTTGCATCGGTTTCTTACTTAGTGTGTTTAGGATGGTGCTGACTGCTTAAATAAACTACTTAGGGATTACTACAAGAACTTGGAGCTTTAAGGTCTCGGCATAATGGGTACTCAAATTGATTTTGCATATTCAGGGGGTTAAGGTTGTCAGGACGATATCAATTTTATCAAAACTTTCCCAAGTTTTTCTAACATAGTCTAAACAGCCTATATACTTTCAGAGTACCATGTCATGAATCGAAGCAAAAATTTTGTTGGAGGTTAAAATTTTGAAAATTTTGAAATTTTGAAATTTCGGGGAGATTGAATAACAAGCGAAAACCACGCATAAAGACTCGACAGCACATGCAAAGACTTTGACATAACATTAAAAGTAGATAAAAACAATAAATCAAACTAAAAGGAAATAAAATGAAAGCGATAGAGTTCCTCCCCCACACTTAAACCAAACATTGTCCTCAATGTTTTAGTAAAAGGTGGAAAAGGAAAGATAGAACCTGTATGAATATTACTGATCTTGCTATCCTTGTCTTCGTTGATCACTTCTACTTCGGCGGCGGGCATTTTGAGACACTTTGTTTGTGTAATTCTCGAACCAGATCATCATATTGCTCGCCTCCAGAGGAAGTAGTCATCATCAGTGTCCCCACCAGCAACGACACTCGTAGGAATGTCTGTGGGTATAGCTCATCTTCTCAGATCGTCATCTAGAGATTTTTCGCCTAGAAATAGATAAAGCGTAACAAGCGATACATTTCTTTATTTTCTGCAAATTTAAACAAACAAATTAAAATAAAGACCTTGTGGGTTGCCTCCCACACAGCGCTTTGTTTAGCGTCGATAGCTCGACGGCTAAGGAGTGCAAGTACTCATGGCGGTTCTTTCGAGAATGGTTCCTCGATCGAACTTTGAATAGTCTTCGGTTTCCATGGCCACTTATCAAGCCATCTCTCATATCCCTCACCTTTTCGTTTCTTTCTTCTGTAGGGTGGTTCCTTGTTTTGAATGCGTGGTGGTGGTTTTGGATCTATCCTGCGTATCAGCTTTTCAAATTTTGGCATAGTTATTTCATCCACCACCTCAAAAGTTAATCGTACCCTTTTAACAGTAATAATGACCTTAGTTTCACGGTCCTCGAATTTTCTTTTCCTATGAGGGACCTTAGACAAAGGTGCATTGGTGTGGGTATTTTCTAGTACCTCCACATGTGTTTTGGATTGGGAGTCTACCCTGGCTTCCGCAACCAATTGTGAGAAAGAATTAGGTGGGGTATAGGGACGAGGAGCAACAATGGGTGCTTCCTTCTCTACCTCTTCGACAACCTCCCTTTCGGGTGGTGTCGGTGGATTTTTCTCAATATTTGTGCTTTTCTCACCAAAACTCTCCTCGGACTCATCATCACTCTCCCTAAGATTTTCTATTTGTTCTTCATTACTGGTTGTTACAACATTCACATGGCCT